AGTTCTTTAGTAGGCAGCCAGTGTGGTTTCATGGACCACATGCTGAACACAAAAATAGCCAAAAATTCACAAAGAAAAAACAGCTGAAGTTGGTATGTTACTATGCGCTACCATCTTGTAGCCCACCATCACAACACAGACCTGCTAAATAAGGCAAACCTGAAGACAGGACCTGTCTTATACTTCAGTCAGAGCGGTTTCCTTAGTAAAACCAAAAAGTCTACCAGGAATAGCTACTCAACCGACCTACATTTCTGGTCGCCACATTGCAGTGTAGATCTAGAAAATTTGCAGACCAGTGGTGGAGCTATGCTCTTACACAAGGCGGGGGTCTTGGTAGTGGGCTCTACACCACAATACTTCATAGTTGTTGGGAGGTTTTTTGTGTGTGGGGGTACTTATTTGAAAATAACAAAAACTTAATCAGAATGCCAGGAATGCCATTATGACACCTGAATAATAGCTTTTAATAAATTAATACAATCACTTCTGGCCTGTACTTTGGCACAATTACAAATGCAAGCAATAAGCTACATTAATAATAGACAACAGATGAGTTGAGCATCACTGAGGGTTTTTCTGCACTTTAAACCCCAATGTTAAAATTAATTAATTCAACTGAGTGAATAACTTCAAATACATTTCAACAGTTGTACTAAAGTAAATACGCTGTCAGATTCTGACTAGCACAAGTGCACAAAACCAAAGGAAACCCCTGAAATGGGTGATTCTGAATTTTTTGTGGATATTTGTTTGTTACTCTTGAAGTAGCCCGATAAGTGTTCTTAAGTGTTTATTGATACCAGTGTTCATGTAGTGCTGTCATCAGCTGAATGTCTGCAGCCAAGCACAGAAGTTAACGCAGCGTAAATTTATAGCAAGCAGCTGCCACAAAATATTTGAGTAGTTTCTCATGTAATTTTGAGTTTTATTTACTTTAAAAATGTAATTACTTTGACTTAACATTATTGAGTGATGGAACAAAATATGTGGTAACACATATTTAATAGTTATTTTTATATCTCCCCGTTATTGCTATCTTGCAGCCTCGCACATTGGGCCTTATTCACCAATATTTTCCTAAGTTTTTTCTTAAATGTGTTCTTCAGAAATGTCCTAAGAAAAAGTCAGTGTCAGATTCATGACATGTTCTTAAACCGCATAACTGTTCTCATCTTTGTGCTCTTGGCTGTGTGTAGATTCTGTTCTTACCGAAAAACAAATCCCAAATAAGAAAACAGCGGTGAATGTCGGAATCTTCATGAAACTGCATAAGTGGTTTTTAAAGACATTTCTTCTTAAGAACAGTTGGTAACTAAGGCCCATTGTTTTCAGTTTCCTCACAATCTGAGCTGTCTTCAACCTCCCTCTCACATTTCCAAGTTTATTCATGGTCACTTTCTTGTCTGACAAACTGTGTACCTTCGTCTTGGTCACTCTCCTTTTGGTCATTAGAGTCTGAAGCTGAAGTTGCGGGTTGATTAAAAACAAACAGTAATCATGACAGCCCTACAGCAGGTAGGTAAGGAGTGAAGAGGCAAAATGCAGATGTTGCTCCGGATGCTGAAACCATATTGCGAGGAATGACAGACTAATAGCGGTGGCAGAAGAGCAGGACAGTGGGGAGACTGAGAGGCATGCAAAAACACACACATATGGGAAAATGGGCAGGATGTTACTTGCTGATTTGACAGAGACCTAAAGGCAGATGATGGTAAAAGAGATACTAACATAGTTTGACAGATGCTCCGGAGAATGCAAGCGGATATGAGGATAAATCTGAAGGACTGAACAATTTTAGCATTTTTTTTTTTATTATTGGCCGTGATACATACAGATGTTACGCATCTCCTTTTTCATGTAAAGTAGCATATTTTTTTTTTGCACAAAAGGTGGAAAATATAAGAGTAACAGAGCATTTGAATCCCAGTAAAAATTTCTGACCAATAAACAAGCACTCGTGTATTATTTGGCACTCTTTAGCCATTGCAGTGTGAAATCAACTAAACCAAAAAAGGCAGACTGGTTCAGACTTCAGCAAATGAACTAGGTGCAAACAAACTAGATTCATCCCAACATACTGAAGACATATACTCAATTTAGAGAGTCTAGAAAGTGAAAATCGTCATTAGCTATGAATCTCTCCCAAAAGTTAGAGATCACTGCAAAATTATTAAAAAAAAAACCCTCCAACTAAGTTTAAACATTTACTGTAGTTGATTTCCACCCTGTGACCCAAATAAGAAGACTCTTTTACTGGTGCAGGCCTTTTTGGGTGTTGTTTTTTGGGACAAAAATTGTATTTTGTACTGAGTGAAAGTGAAATTCTTCTGCATCTGCATATCTGGGAACATGTGCCAGTTATCTTACGCAGATTTAAACACAGATGTCTGCCTACACACTCTAATTTAACATGAACAAATGTTTTTGTAATATATTGAAGACAGATCACATAAATGTTTGAAATGTTGCTCTTTTTCTGTGATCCGATCCTCAAACTAAGTAATTTGCACTAGTTCTGGTTCAGGTTCAGAGCTGTTTGGGGCTCATCCCGCCCCCGGTGTACAACTCTGCAGATTTGCAAGATGTGTATTAGAAATTTTGGACACTGTGGCCATGAACTCCTTCTCTGAGTTTTGACACAGATACATTTACATGTATCTTTGCAGAAGTATATATTAACCATTATGTGCACATCTTACTTACAACAAACTGCTGACATTTCCCCAATAAATACTCTGTCTTACACTTAATATTAGTGAGGGCAACTCAGCGTCTCTCAACTTCTAAACTGTAGAACTGCTTCACTTCCTAATTTCTTTTCCATGGCAATCTGAGCCTGGTATTCACAACCTGGCATTGTGAAGTTCAATTAGGTCAGTCAGTCTATGGCCCCTGAGACACTGCTTTACTTGCACTGGGTAAAAAGATCCCTTTCAAAGGCCTGGAAAAAGGCCTTGTCCCATCTGATATACCGACAGGTACAGAAAGACTGAGAATGACGTCAAAAAGTTATCTGTGAGTCTAGAAAAGGTGATAGGGTACAATCTCTACTAAGAATTGTGGAGAATTGTAGGATATTGTCAGCAAGGCAAACAACAGCTTGAATGAACACACATTAATATTGAATGAGAAGCTGGATTAGAGGTGAGATTGGAAATAGGCATGCTAAGGTTCACTGCCTTGCACTGTGTGTTAATGACTTATATTCTAAGTAAGGAGATATAATCAAGGGCAAGTCAATGCAAGGGGATGGATTTTTCAAAGGTTTTGAACAATTCAATTGTTGAGATGTAAACAAAGTGATTCAGAGAGGTCTGATGTGAAATGCACTGTAGAGAAACTTATCAACTCTGACTTCTTTACAGTGGTGGTGACAGCGATTGCAATGTCTACCGTTCAAATATAGCCATACTATTGACTATCCAAAACAACATGCGAACCCACATGTGTGCCTGAGCGGATTCTGAAGAATCATTTTAGGCCAAACCCTTCCGTCTTCTTCCTAACCATTACATGTATTAGCTTTCTGTAAGGTAGTTTTCAGAGGCGTTAAAGGGGAATTCCACCAATTTTTCAAAACCTCTGCACAGTGCAATCAACGAGATGTTAATGTCATTCAGAGTGGTTTGGTTTGAATTGCTTCATTGTAGAGAAACGTAACTTGGATTTCTCAGTGGTGGTAACAGGAACCAGGAGAATGTTTAACGCACAAATATAATGATTTTATTTACAATCCAAAACCCTCAGTGAAGCTACAGAAGTCTCCTAAATACTTGAATGTAACAGTAATGATGGCAAAAAAACAAACAACGAGATGAGATTTATTGGGGACTATTTTGCCTCACAACGCCCTGCGTACATCCCTCCGCCAAGAGTGTATTAAAAAACGTTTTAAGCCAAAAGACTGTCACAAAACTTGTTGTCTCTGACATCAGCAGCGTTAAGATAATTTCTTGTGATAACTTTCTGTGAGGGAACTTTCTCAGGCAATAAACTCCTCAGACATCTGGCTCCTATCAGAACTGCTGTTAACATCTCTGACTCAAGTTTCTCTACAACAGAGCATTTCACACCAAACCACTCTGGGTGACTTTGTTTACATCTCAAAGACTGTCCTCTGCAGAAGTTTTGAAAAATTGGTGGAATTCCCCTTTAAACTCTTCAGACGTCTGGTTCCTGTCACCACCACTGTAAACTATCCCGACTTACAACAAACAGCTCTGAATGACTTGGTTTACATCTTAACGATTTAATTATGCAGGGATTTTGTAAAAGGTTTCATTTCTCCTTAGGTTCTCCTGCCACCTAAAGCTATTTAAACATGGAAAGAACATTATTTCAGACGGTTATTTCATTTCCACACAGAACAGCTTCCTTTCCATTTCTCACTCCTCACTGAGACAGGCTGTATAAAAATAATTAGCAGCTAAGCAGTTATCTTTCAGCTAACTCAGTCCATTTTCTTAAGGCGAATGTTGCAGCTGAAGCCTTTCCACAGCAACAAAACAGAAAAGACTAATACAGAAAACAGTAATAACTGTTTTCCCACCAGTTATTAATGGAAAATATGCTTACTGCACACAAACAGCGGTTACGCCCCCAGTGAGTGAGACTGAGTACAGACCAGTCTCTGCATCTGTTCTCACTTTACTCAGTTTACAGGTACCGTTAACGTTAGCAAGCTAGTCGGATACGTTACAGCTTACATACAGCATTTCTATGAAATTGTGTGTATTTCTGGTCAAAAAGCCTAAAATAAGTTATCGTCATAGTTAAAACACTCAAACTGTGCGTAAATTCCTAAAAAGATATATATAAAAAAATAAAAACAAGCATTTTCCTTCTATCCAGCAGTACATTTTGTGTGTTTAAACTGAGGGTTAGTTAATCTAAGCTTTGTTTATACAGTTAATGACTCGAAATCCGTTCGTTGGCTACTTCAGAAACACATTTAAAGTCCTCTGCTCATTAGACACACCGCTGGAGGTGTAACTTACCTGTGGCGTGTCCATGAAGATACTTTGTCTGAACTTCCCTCGTCGTATCTCCATTTCCAGCGCTGAACCCCGAGCGATGGTGGCTCTGGCTGACTGATTTCGGCAGAACATTCTGAAGACCAAACCACTCCGACTTCGGGTTTCCTAAGAAACAGTCTCCCTCTCTCTCAGCTTTCCTCCCCGACCAGTGTTTTTCTCAGATGTTCAGAAGATGGCTTTTCCAGTTGTAGCGAAGTTTTCGCCTCAGTGGCGACTATTTTCCTCCTAAAAGACCAGGCAGTGTTTTTATGTGTCGTTCCCGATGGTCTCTGGCATCAAACAGGCGACCACAAACGACACGTCGTGGCTCCGCTCTCATCCACAGTGAAGCGTGCTGAGAGTCCTCACTGAGAGAGAGGCTACTGGCTGTGTGAAGTGCGCCCTCTGTCGGTGGCGCTGCTTGGTGGCTCTTCTGTGGATTTGGATGCTTCTTGGAAACTTCTCTGGGCTTTAAGGCCAGGTGGAGGGGACTTTAATCACTGCAATCAAAGAAGGTTACCACATTTTGTAGTTCAATTCCAGACTGTAGTCCATCCGGTACAAAAAACTGACCATACTGTTTGTAGCTGAAATTGAGATTCATCAGACCAGGTTATGTTTTTCCAGTCTTCAGCTGTCCAGTTTTACCTGTGAACACTGCAGCCTCAGCTTTCTTTTCCTGGCTGACAGAAGTGGAACCTTAACATTGTCTTTTGCTGTTGTAGCCCGTCCGCCTCAAGGTTCAGCGTATGGTGCATTCTGAGATGCTTTTCTGCTCTGCTGCCACAAGATTGGCTGATTAGATGATTGCATGAATGAGTAGGTGTACAGGTGTTCCTAATAAAGTGCTCAGTGAGTGTATATTTTAGTATGATTTTTGCCTGGATGCAGCTTACACAGCCAGTCCATGTTTCCCAACTCCAGTCTTGCAGTTCACCTGCACTGCAGGTTCATTTTTTTCCCCCTGTTGTTACACACATGATTCAGCGCTAGTGATGTGATTCAGGAAAATGTGATACTTGCAATATAGGTGGCCTACAGGACTGGAGCTGCTAAACACGGACCTAAGTTGACATACTGGCTTATGTAAGTACTTCTCCACTTCATTCTCTCCAGTTCCATTTCAGGCTCAGCCCCCAAACTCCCACTAACTCTACCCCCAGGTTCTGCTCTTTGTTTTCTCCTTTTGTTTTTTCTTTCTCTTCCCCCTGAGGGGATTCTCTATCCTCCTAAATTATCTACTTAGGAAGAGTTGGAGAGTGAAGCTGAAAGAAAAGAAATGGAGCAGAAGATTATCTCAGATTATAAGCAGGAGGACAGTTTAAAGACTAGGAAATGTTTGCTTATTTAAACTCTCACAAAGATTTACAGCCAGTATGAACATGCAAAGTGTAATTAAAAGCTATTTCAGAGACAGAATATATATGTAAATCTGAACATTCAAATGCTGACAAGTCACAGTGCAGGCTAACCCAACTTGGGGAGAACCTGTTATTTTTATTTGTAGTATAATTCCTTCTGCAATTTCGTGAATGTCTTCTGTTTTGGATATCTAACATTAATATAGGCTCAAAATTTGTCACTGATACCGATTCCAGTTTTAAGAAGCTAAAAATTTGAATATTATTGACCGATATAATTTTGTATGGTCCAATATGAAAGACTTCCGTTTTTATTAATCAGTGATTTGTTGACTGATAAGACTGTGAATTATTAAAATTCTTAAACCCAAATAAACAGCCCAGTCTCACAGATTTAATTAACATCATTATAAAATAAACCAGTTAGAAATAAATACATAACCTTAAAACAGGTAAATAACATGAACTATCATAACATTGAATCCAAAAACAAGAACAATCAAAGATAGTATCAGTGCTTTGTAGGTTGGATTCCTATTGATGCTGATAATCTTGTACACAAGATTCAAGATGGCGCCGAGTATGGCTGCCGTGTTGCGAGCTCCCGCTTACTTTTGCAGTTTTTTGTTGTTTTTGTGTTTGTTTTTAACTCTTTTTGCACTAAATGTTACTGGTTTTTTTGATCATGTGGACTGGGAAATGTTCCGTGATTCGTCGGGCAGCGTGGACGAGTACGCAGACACAGTCACCGCCTTCATACGCAAGTGTGTTGATGACGTAGTGCCCTGCAGACAAGTCCGCGTTTACCCCAATCAGAAGCCCTGGCTGAACTGTGAGGTTCGCTCCGCCCTCAGCGCACGCAGCGCTGCATTCAGAGCGGGAAATACGGAGGAGTACAAGCAATCCAACTACGCTCTCCGTAAATCCATCAGAGCAGCTAAACGTGCGTACAGAATGAAAGTGGAAGCACAGTTCAACACAGCCAACACACGAAGCTTATGGCAGGGGTTAAATACAATCTCTGACTATAAAACTGCCTCTCGCACTCTGCCCAGTACCAGCGCTGATCTGCCGGACGAGCTTAATAACTTCTACGCTCGCTTCGACGGAATTCCCGCAGCACCACTGGAGAGCGCCCCGCCCACCGCTGATCCCAACGCCCCCTCCGTCTCCGTAGCTGATGTGTGCAAAGCCTTCAAGAGGGTGAACCCACGCAAGTCAGCAGGACCAGATGGCATTCCCGGGAGAGTGCTTAAAGCCTGCTACAGGGAACTAGCAGGAGTTTTTGCAGACATCTATAACACCTCACTGTCTCTCTCGGTCGTGCCAGCTAGTTTCAAACTAGCCACCATTGTGCCAGTTCCAAAGACAGCTAGTATTACCTGTCTGAACGACTGGCGACCTGTTGCCCTGACCTCCATCGTAAGCAAATGCTTTGAGAGGCTGGTCAGAGATATCATCTGTTCCTCACTGCCTGCCACCCTGGACCCACTGCAATTTGCATATAGGCGGAATAGATCCACCGACGATGCAATCGCCCTGACCCTGCACACTGCCCTCTCCCACCTGGAAAAGAAGGACACGTATGTGAGAATGCTGTTTGTAGACTACAGTTCAGCATTCAACACAATCGTTCCTTCGAGGCTCGACTGCAAGCTCCGGGATCTGGGTCTGAACAGCACACTGTGCAGCTGGATCCTGAACTTCCTGACGGACCGACGGCAGGTGGTAAGGATGGGAAGTATCACATCCTCCTCTTTGACCCTCAACATCGGAGCCCCCCAGGGTTGTGTGCTCAGCCCGCTCCTGTACTCCCTGTACACCCATGACTGCACTGCTAGACACAGCTCCAACGTCATCATAAAGTTTGCTGACGACACAACAGTTGTGGGCCTGATCTCCAACAACGATGAATCGGCCTACAGAGAGGAGGTTAAAATCCTGGAAAACTGGTGCCAGGAGAATAACCTCTCTCTAAACGTCAGTAAGACCAAGGAGCTGATCGTGGACTTCAGGAAGCAGGAGACAGTACACCCATCGATTTCCATCAATGGGACTGCGGTAGAGAGGGTCAGCAGCTTTAAGTTTCTCGGTGTTCACATCAGCGAGGACCTGACATGGGCAGTGCACACCTCACAGGTGGTGAAGAAGGCCCACCAGCGCCTCTACTTCCTCAGAAGGCTGAGGAGGTTTGGCCTGAACCCCAGCATCCTTAAGACCTTCTACACCTGCACTGTGGAAAGCATCCTGACGGGCAGCATCACCACCTGGTACGGGAACTGTACTGTTCGTGAGAGGAAATCTCTGCAGAGGGTGGTGCGGACAGCACAGTCCATCACCGGGGTTCAGCTCCCTAACCTACTGGATTTATACACCAGTCGCTGCCTGAGGAAATCCAGAAGGATTATGAAGGACCCCTCCCATCCTAGTCACTGTCTGTTCTCTCAGCTGCCGAGTGGTAGGAGGCTCAGAAGCTTAAAAGCCAGAACCAGTCGGCTCAAAGACAGCTTCTTCCCCCATGCAACCAGGCTATTGAACAGCCAGTAATCACTGCTCTGCCCAGCCCAACCCTTCCCATTACACGTACGTGCACCCACTGTACTCCCGCACTTTACTTGCATAGCTGGACTTTGAATACCTATCCAAAGACAATACTCTCCCCCTGCGCTTCCACTTAACTTCCTGTACCTTGCACTTTACTAAATACTCTGCCACCTACTGTACCATCTTCTACCTCCACACCTAGTGTGATTACTTGCACATCTACATAGCATTGTAATATCCATTACTATATATAGTATATGGTTGATTACACTCACTCTACATTCCCAGTGCAATATTATATGTCTCGGTGCAATATTATTATTTTTAAGTTATTGTGTAAGATTATATGTATATATTTTAGTTAAATTGGTTTTATCTATTCTTCTATCCTATCTATAGTTTTGTTTATCTATGTGTAAATACTGTTCTCTGCATAATTTGTGGAACTCGCACTCAAGTTTTTCACTCACCTGTGTCCCTGTACTCTTGTGATGTGACAATAAATCTGATTTGATTTGATTTGATTTAAATCAATGGAACACCAATATCCACAGATTTTATTGTGCCCTATTTTATATTTTTATTTAGTTATTTTAGCAATGCTAATACAACTTCCTTCTTTTTTGTTCTGGAAATTAAAATGCTTTTTTGTTCTAGATATATGTTGCTACTTATAGGAGTCTACTATTGTCAGAGTTAAGAAAACGTGTAAGAGGCTGATAATCTAAGCACAAGGATCATGCTGAGTAGTGGAGGCAGAGGCCTGGGGCTCAACACAATAATTCAGTGGGCTCTAAAGAACAGAATGTGTCTTATATTAGGCGTTACTGTTAATCAGCCCAGTGTGTGGCACACTGCATTGACAGGTCCTGCTGTGACAAGAATTTTAAAGTTAAAGGACGCATGACTAGGAGATCAGTCTTCACAATACAGCAACAGCACCATACGATGATAGAACTGAAAATCACTTTTGTATCAAGAACAGCTAATAAGGCAATGAGTCCAAGTAACATGACACAACTAATAACACATTCAACACCTTAGCATACCTTATATACATACAACTCCGTTTCCAAAAAAGTTGGGACGCTGTGAAAAATGTAAATAAAACAAAATGCAATGATGTGCAGATCACTTAAACCTTATATTTCATTAAAAATGCTTCAAAGACAACATATCAAATGTTGAAACTGAGAAATTGTGTTGTTTTTGAAAAATATTTGCCCATTTTGAAAAACACCTGGTGGTTAATTGGCAACAGGTCAATAACATAACAAGAGCATCCCAGAGAGGCTGAGTCTTTCAGAAGTAAAGATGGGGAGGGGTTCACCACTCTGTGACAGACTGTGCAGGCAAATAGTGTAATAATTCAAGAACAACATTTCTAAACATAAAATAGCCGAGAAGGTTTGCTTTTCATCATCTACGGTACATCTGAAGAAATCTTTGTATGCAAGGGACAAGGCCAAAAACCAGTATTTGCTGGCTGTGATCTTTGGGCCCTCAGGCAGCACTGCATTAAAACAGACATGATTCTGTAGAGGAAAACACTGCATGGGCTCAGGAACACTTCTGAAAACCACTGTCTGTGAAAACAGTTCACAAAGAAAAAAGTATATATATACAGCATCCAGGAATGTAGGCACCATTAATGCTGAAGGATATATATATATGTTTTGGCAACATATGCTGCCATCCAGACGACATCTTTTTCAGGGAAGGCTTTGCTTATTTCAGCAAGACGATGTCAAACCACATTCTGCACGTATTACAACAGGATTGCTCTGCATTAAGAGTCCAGGTGCTAAACTGACCTGCCTGCAGGCCAGACCTGTCCCCACTAAAAACATTTGGTGCATTATAAAATCAAAAATACGACAAAGGAGACCCTGAACTGATGAGCAGCTGAAAGCCTATATTAAGCAAAAATGGGAAAACATTTCACTTTCAAAACTACAGCAGTCAGTCTCCTCAGTTCCCAAACACTTAGAGTGTTGTTAAAAGAAGAGGTGATGAAACATGGTCAACATGTCCCTGTCCCAACTTTTTTGTAACGTGTTGTTGGCATCAAATTCAAAATGGGCATATATTTTGCAAAGAACGATACAATTTCTCAGTTTCAACTATTGATTTGTTGTCTTTGTATTGTTTTCAATGAAATATAGGGTTTAAATGATTTGCACATCATTGAATTTTGTTTTTATTTACATTTTGCACAGCGTCCCAACTTTTTTGGAAATGGGGTTGTACATCAAACTGTCATAGTGTTATATACAGTCAAATGCAATACCCCATGTTAAATTACATTTTGTTGATTTTCTACAGGGAATAAACTCGACAGTTTTTCTGTAAAATTTGGAATTAATTTATTTGTTGGGTTTAACACATCGAGAAAAAACATAACATATATACATGAATACATAAAAAAGTGCCGTAACCTTTGCACAGGCCACACTTTACTGTTAGGAGTAAATTGTGCATTAAAATATGGAAAAGTGTGCTCTCAGTAGAGTGTATCCTCATTTTCACTTTACCTCATTACTCTTTCCTACACGGACCCCATTGAAGTGGTTTGCAATTTTGTATACCATCTAAAAACATTTTCACTTTATATCCCAACTGATTCTATTGGTCCATGTTTAATCTTGAGATCATGCACTGTAGGCTTTTGCAGTGGTCAAACACTGCAAAACATCACATGGATAATTACAGCAGCCATGGTCCTTAGGACACTTTCCTGTAGTTGAAGTTCCTGATGGTCTATGAACGGTCGTTCTTGATAGTTTGCTGTTTTAAACTTAAGTTCCTCTTTGTGAAGTGTAACATTTCCTCTGAGGCAGCCAAAAGAGAAACTTAAGTTAGTAATAAAGTTCTAGATGTTGCACTAAAATTCAAATAATTATCATATCCCTGAGAAAGAGGGTTTATGTATTTACAGACAGACAAATGAGTCAAAAACATTATGACTACTTAAAGATGAAGCGAATTAGCTGATTATCTTGTCTACTGGACGGTAAGTGAACAGTCAGTTCTCGTAGTTGACGTGTTGGTCGAGGGAGAAATGGGCAGACCTTAAAGACCTGAGTGACTTTGATGTGCCGAGTCGTCTCTGCCTCTCTGACAGACGAGGTTTGTGAGGTGTTTCCGGTCCGCAGTGGTGAGTACCAGGTGAGAGATGTGTGAGGGCAATAAAGGCTATCCTGTCTGGTCCAAACTGCCAGAAGAGCTATTGAGGTACCAGTCACAGAAATTTTTAATGATGGTCAGAATGTCAGAATGGACCTCAAAGCAATGGAAGAAGGTTGCCTGGTCTGATGAGCCCCGTTTTCTTTTACATCACATGGATGGCTGGTTACATGTGCACTGTTTATGTGGGAAAGTGATGGCATCATGATGCTGCTGGGTAACTCTGGGTCCAGGCATTCATGTGGATGTCAATTTGACACATGCCACCTACCTAACCACTGCTGCGGACCAGGTACACCCTTTCACAGCAATAGTGCTCCCAAATGGCAGTGGCCTCTTTCAGTCGGATCATGTGCTGTGCCCCACTGCATGCATTGTTTGGGAATGGTTTGCGGAACAAGACAAAGAGCTCAAAGTGTTGCCCTGGCCTCCAAATTCCCCTGACATTAACCCGATCAAGCATCTGTGGGACATGCTTACAGGCCTCTGTGGATCGGAGCTGTTTTGGCAGCACGCTGTGAACCAACAGCATATTAGGCAGATGGTCATAATGTTTTGGCTCATTTGTGAAGACTATTCATCGTTACAATGGATGCAAACATCATCTGATAGAATTTTTAAGAAAAACACATCTGCGTTTAACCAATATGTTTCACCTCCTCCTCCGACCACCCCCACCTATCATCCAGTGAAAACAGTCAGCTCAGAAACTTTGTGTTTTAACAACTTGGAAATACGACAGTATGGAAGGGAAATTCTGATATTTGTTTCATACTGACTTTCAGAAAAGGACCACTTTAAACAAAAGGTGAAAAAGAACATAATGGCTTTTAATTCATTTATGTACAAAGAATACAAAACATGAAATGGAACATGGATTTTCCCACCCAACACACAGTGGAAGTAAATGCTAACCTGTGTAAGAGAAAGAAAACAAGTCAAACATCTTGAATTAAGAAGCTGAATAAGACAACATAGGGAAAAAAGTTCAGCTTCATAATATCGCCTTTCCAGCCACTTTTTATCATGGTTTTACACACTAAGCCATGCAAATGAAATGTTAAAAATTAGGGAAATAATGTCTACAGCAAAACACACAATTATGAACACAAAAAAAAAAAATGAACACTTACCAGATGAACTTCCAACTACTTCATTTGTGATGAGACTTCTTTGCCGCAGCCTCTTTGCGACCTTGTTTCAAGCCCTGGAAGACGCAAAGTGAATTGGTAAATTACAGAAAAAGTAACTGTAAGAGAGCTTCATAAATCATGTTTAAAACAAAGCTGTTTGGTATAACTTTGGTCAGCGTAGCGAATATCAAATGACTGCTACTTACTAAGTAGTATCCTGTGTGGTAGCCACTCATGTACCATGAAATCAGCATGCTGCCTAAGGCCTCATCATCCTGCAACATATCTGGACTCATTGGTGGTGGTGGTGGGATCATCTGGAGATGAAAAGCTTTTATTAGTTGGGTATATAAAGCAATGTTCTGGGCAAAAGTTACATGTATACAATTTCCCCCTTACCCTTAATATAATAAATAAGACCCCACGTTTGCTTTTTTTAATTTTGCACCGAAGCTACATGGGTAACGTAACAGCTGCTAATACTGTTTATAACATATGTACTTTTGTACAATTTAGTAGATAAAGTGTATGATGATTTAGTCTATACAATTCTAAACTGATGGCTGCAAACTTCTATTACTTGTTAGATACACTAGCCTTGTAGTTCCAGTGCAAAACTATAGAAGCAAACTTTAGACACCATTTAGTATGAGACTAATATGTATTTTGGATGAGAGACATGACAGTCAGTAAGTAGCAACAGACAGCGAACCACACAGTGTCTCACCGGTGGACCAGGAGGAATCATTGGAGGCCAGCCAGGGAAGGCAGGTCCAGGATCCCCTCTTCTTCTGTTAGACTGAGGAGAACACCTTCTTAAAACACACTATTTTGTGCAAAGTTGTACAAACGGTTGTGTATATTGTAAACCTAAACTGAACGTAACCGAACATCTACTGATCAAGCTTAATCGTTCAGTCATACAGTTCTAGTCACTGTGCCTTTGGTCATTTGGTAATGTGACATCATTTTACTATCACACATAACAGAAAAGTTAGAAATCTTCATGGTTATGTTCTGTAATAACACTAACTAAAACTCCAAAAACCCACCTCAAAAAGGTATTTGGACATTTAACCATTGGTAAACTTTAATGTTATTTAGGTTACTTTATAAAATGTTAATCAAAGTGATTCAGAGAAAAACACTACACATTGATGGTAGACTTTGCGTGGAGAAAGCCTGGAGAACAATTCCAACCAGACTGCACTGAGGATACTGGGGCTATTTTTCTTACAATGGTGTCAGTGAGCTTGTGTTCACTGATGTGTACAAAGACATTTTGGATTCAAACCAGCAGAAGTCTGCAAAGAAACTGTTAAACTGATAATGATCTTAAACACACCAGCCAACTATTGAAAAAATACTTTGGGGAAAAAAATCCAGTCTTGGTATAGTCTATTTAAAATAAACACCACCTGGTTTTGTTTCTTACACAAGGAAATTAATACATGTTTAAGTATGGTTCACATGTCCAATTACTTTTAGGGTCACTGTATGGATTTAAGTAAAGTCAGAGTGCAAACAGAACAAAAGTGATTTCAAGTCTGATCTTAGGACTGCTAATATTCTCTAAGTCAATCTCATGGTGAAACCACAAACCAAACACGTTACAGAAATAAGTGTAAGACTTACTCACCATTCCGAGGTGAGGGCCAAAAGGGGGGCCAGGTGGAAAGCCAGGACCCCACATGGGGGGGCCCATTGGAGCTTTGCCTTTAGGTTTGTGTTTCTGTTGACTAGACTGGTGTGGAGTAGAAGATCTATCACTCTCCTCTGTTGAAGACTCAGCCTCTTTCATCTGCAGTTGGAAAAGTTAACAGTCAACATACGCACGTTTGTATGCTTGATCAACACACATAAAGAGGCAATGAATGGGACACATACTTCTCCTGTTTTTTTCGTTTCCTCCTCCAAATCTTCAAGATCTGACAGAAGGTCCTTCAGATTTTGCTCCTCCTCATTACCATAGTCAGTGTAATATACAACACAGGTGCCCTTATCCAGATCGATTGAGGAAATAGTCGCAGCGTACACGTTTCCATCCTCAGACCAAAACGCATAACAGGAGTCTCCAACTTTCCACTGCAAAACACATTACGGAATCTTTCAATCTGGGCCCAGTTTTCCAAAAGCGTCTTAATGTCCCTACTGGTAGGGAGAGAGTTCAGTGTGACTCTCTCTCTACCATTTAAGAATCAATCATTTAAGAGGCTTTCAGGAAGCCCCGCACTGTACAATAAACAAGAAAAAGGTACAACACTGAGGCTGTTAGAACTACCTCTCTGTCAGGAGATGCGTTACATCTCTTTCTGCTTTTGTTCTTTTTGTTGTTTTTTCGTTTATTTCCAGGTTTCTCTTTTTTAGGTGGAGCCATTTCATCCTCCCCTTTCAGTGCGTTCTGAAAAACGAGAAAAAAAAAGATACAATCCAGAAGATTGCAACAAAAAAGGAAACATTTAAAGATATTCCAGTGCATTCGTTTAGGGAAGACATAAGAATGAGTGTAATTAGGTTACCTTGAATGATGCAACCGCTTTATCATAGGCTTTTATCAAGGCAGTGTCATCCCAGATGTCTGAATCTTCACTCTAAAGAAAAAAAGATGACAACGCTGACTAAACTAATTCATCCTACATGTGATAATCCAGTGTTTCTCAACCCTGGGGTTCCTGAAAGCCCATTAACCTGCACATTTTAGTGCTTTTCCTGCCACTTTAACTCAATAATGGGCTGTTAATGAGCTGATGAGCTGGATCATGTGTGTTGGGAGCAGAGAAGACGCAAAAAAGTGCAGAGCAGTCGGCCTCCAGGAACAGGGCTGAGAAACACTGTGGTAAACTACTGGCTTTGCTATTTCTGACAATACAAAACACGTCTTGTGATTAGGGTCGCCACCTCAGCCCCGTAGAAATCTGTAAAAGTTTGATTATTTACTAAATTCAGCAAACATGAAGGTACGTTCATTGTGCAATCTAAGGTAAACAGATGTCAGTTCAGTTACGGTACCTAATCTTCTCAGCTAACATTTGATGTGATGCCTAAAAATGCCCCAAGTTGCCACCAGCGGTGCACCTTTTCCAAACAGTTGTCCTTACATTAAGAGTCAAGTGAACTAATCAAACCTATTCTACAAGCTGTTTTCCTGGATAAAAACAAACAGTTTAACCTTCATTAGAAATACTAACATATGAAAATTCTTGGACATTTGGTGTCCAACAATGGAGTTTTTTTTTTTCTCTTGGACAGGCAAACTAAAAACCTTGACAGGTGGCAATCCTAGATGTAGCTACATGCTTGCCATTCATAATTTATACATATATACACGTCGTCTTCTAGTTTTATTGTGCTTAAATCGTTTAACGATACTTACTTTTAGCCTGAGCACCATTAGCATCCCAAATGACAATTAGCCTAGCCTAGCTTCCCTAGCCAGCAATATGGAATTAAATAGTGTTAGTGAGTCTGTCTAGCAAAAATTCAACTCGTGTACCTCTTAGTCTCCATGTAAGGTGGCTTACCTGTCCAGCTCCACGAGAAAATACGACTTCATTTGCTCCATTTGCCATGAAAAAACACGCAAACGAACACAACAAGCTACTTCAGCAAAACACCGGCCAAGTTCAACGTGCGCCACCAACGTTGATGACGTTCAAAACGTGAGACGAAATAGGCTTGGCTTGGAAGAGCTGCTTAGCAACGCGCTGCTCGGTTTTATTTAGCGTCCAAACGGGAATCGCTGAAGTCCTGTAAAATCTACTAAACCCATCATGATAAACACCGCCTTAAGCGCGTTCGGTGCTCAGGTCGTGTTGGCTACGTCCAGCGACGAGAACCACCCACCAGAGAACGTTACTGACGGGTGAGTGAATCTGTGTGTCCGAGGTTGTGTAGGACGATAGTGCACAGTATCAGTTCTAACAGTGTTCAGCGTTTAGCAGCAACACATTCCCAGGGTTTTACACTAAAGGGGAACTCCATCGAATTTTCAAAACGTCTGCATAATTCAATCACTCATGTAAACAAAGTCGATCATATTGTTTTGCTCTGAAACTATGCGGTGTAGAGAAACGGTACACTCTTAAAAAAGATGGCTCTTCAAATGTTCTTTAGTAAAAACAATGGTTCAATTTAGAACCATGAGTTCTATGTAGAACCATTCTGTGCTTAAATGGTGATTGGTGGAGAATGTGTTGTAATGTTCTATGTAGGACCTTCTGTAAGTGGTTCTACTTAGCACCAAAATGGGTTCTGCTATTGTTATTATGTCATGCTTGTAACAACAGAAGAACCCTTTTTTTGGTGCTATATAGAACCATTTACAACACATTCTCCATCAATCTGAAGGATTATTTTACCATGCAAAGAAGCTTTTAAGCATGAAATGGTTCTATATAAAACTCATGGTTCTAAGTAGAACCATTGCCTTTACAAAAGAACCCTTGATGAACCACCTTTTATAAGTGTTTGTTATATTCTGACTTTAGTTATGCGGAAGTTTTTGAAAAATTGGTGGAATTCTAATTGTTGCTAATCTTTTGGTCAGACAAAACGATAATGCACTGATCAGTCCAACTGGTTGTGAAGAAGTGAGTGGGCTATTGGGGAAAACTGATGAAAAGATGATTGTCAAAGAGGATGCTGAGAAAGTAACACCAGCAACACCAATTTATGTTGAGAATGATGTGATAGTCCCACTGTATTGAGTGCTACTGCAGTTTCCTTTGTCCAACTCCTACTCTTTAGTCAAAGCAACAAATGCTTACAGACATGTTAACAAGAGTTACACAGTGGTCTAACATTTTAATAAATGTGTGCAACAGATTCTACTGACCTGTTTCTATAGATACGTGACTTTTTTTTTGTAAAATATGGATATACTTGTCCAGAAAAACTTAATGTCAAGCTATAAATCCTCAAGCTCAAGTCAGTAACTAAAGTTTGTTATTCAGTTGTAGTATCAATGCAATCTCTTACTGACAATGTAAAATAAGGGGTATAGTAGGTGCAGTTTTCTTAGCTACAATGAGTTGTTTGATCTGTTGTTGTCAAACAGGAATCTTTAAAAACCATAAAATCTGTTGACTTTGTTCAGCCTTTGGTAACTTTATATCTGAGCTTTCACTGCAGAAAAACAGAGACGTTCTGGCTGTCCACCGGCATGTTTCCTCAAGAGTTCATCATTCGATTCCCAGATAACATGAAAGTATCACTTATCTCCATTCACAGTTTTAATGGTAAGCTTTGTATGTATTTTCCTGCAAAGTTATCTTTTACGGTTCTGCTACATTTCATCAACTGAATTATCTAACATGACCTGAAATGTTTATCACAGTAAAACGTTTACGGATAGAGAAAAACGCACGAGAAGAGGCAGACAAATTTGAAGTCGTAGCAGAGAAAGGTAAAAAATGCACGTGCTGATATAATGTGTTGTGTCCAGTGTTAAAGACAGAGACTGACTCAGGTTTTTTTGTGTTTTAGAGTTTGAACAGACAGAGAACAGTCTACAAATTAATGACATAACTGTGAGTTAAGCTTCCTCCTCTTTTCAATCATGCCAGCCAAAGTTAAACTGCTTTTAAAACATGAACATGTAATGTGTATGTTTTCTGCAGCTTGATGGCTCGACTGCAACACACTTGCGGTTCCTCATCCTCTCTGGATATGATCATTTTGTCTCAGTGCACAAAGTGGGAGTGCAAGCATGAAATCATCCATTTTTCTAACTAATTTTCTGGGGTTTTTTTTTGTTTGTTTATTTTTATAATCAGTTAACGGAACTCTAAACTGTACACATTTGTAAAGCAGCCTTATATTTTAAATAATGTATAGTGGTAATTTCTTGAAAGCAATTACCCTACATTTTCTACACAATAAATGCTTTGAACTAACAAATTCTTTTCTTTTACTGTTATTAGTATTAGCTTACATGAAACTTGGAATTCTCCATCAGTAATATGATTAATAAAGCAGACATTAGTCTAACAGTTGGCTATATCTCTTGAAGAAACCCCATAAAGATAATATGTAATATTAACAAGCAAATGTATATGAGCAAATTCACACACACACCCTTTCTAAGCCGCTTATCCCTCTGGGTCGCGGTGGGTGCTAGAGCCTATCCCTGCAGTCACTGGGTGGAATGCAGGTAACACCATGGACAGGTCGCCAGTCCATCGCAGAGCAGACACATTCACATCTAGGGGCAATTTAGCGTGTCCAGTCGGCCTAACTGCTTGTCTTTGGACTGTGGGAGGAAACCGGAGCACCCGCAGGAAACTCACGCTGACATGGGGAGAACATGCAAACTCCACACAGAAAAGACCCTGGTCGTCCAGGCTGGGGTGAGCAAATTCAACTGCATCTAAATATGAAGCTAACTTTAATCACAGGTATAAATACATTGAGACTGGTGTTGAATATAAAACACCTGGAAGCAGATTTTCTAATGTCTAAGTGGTATAGATCATAATCTAGAGACTCAAGTTTGGTGTAGTTACTACATTCATAATGTTACGTTTTCTACAGAACAGACTCAGACAGCTAATAAAAGCAAATCTGCTTTTAAAAAATGGGAGTAAAGGCCACCATAATTGTGCATTCTCTGAATAGCATTTACTTACTGTTTGTAGGACCTTTATAAATGCTTGCTGAAAATAATGGTTATACATGGGAGTTAAAAACCTATAGTATTCATTAATAATACTCATACATATAATATTCATATTATTTCCTACAAGTTTCTGTTATTTACTAAAAACACCCTTACTTCATTTAGGATCGCTTAATTTAAAGGCAGTGTTCATAAACCTTTGACATCTGAAAAACATACTTAGACATTTACAAAGGCTTATTCCAACAGGTGTCGGTTGTCATAAAGCCTGCTTTTGTCAGATTTTATGTCTGGCTGACATAACGCCTACTGTTAATGACATTTTGCCGACAGTTTGTGTCATGACGTAGCTCAGTGCATTTTTGGTATGTCAGAGTGGTGTAATGGTGACATAAAGCTATGCTATGCTACAGGCTGGTAGCAAAATTGAATGATAGCAAGCAGTTCTGAAAGATAAGCTGGAATTTTGTGGTTGCATTTAGATAAAAATGTACTGTATAAAGCTTTTTACACTGCTTTATTTTGCAGTTTATAAAACAATTTTTTTTTAATTTATTGAATAAAATGTATGAATCCCAACAGCAGTGCCATAACACTGTACTGATGTAGTTTTTTTAATATATATTGCATTAACTATACAGACTGGTGAAGCAGCTTTCTGCTACAATCCACCAAAGATTTTACATTATTTACCTATTAACATTCGTCAGGCTGCTGTCATTACTAGTTGAAAAAAAAACAGTTGGAGACGTTTTTTTTGTTTTCCATTCTATTAGCACTTTGTTCTTTTTGTATTTTTATGGATAATACTGTATTTCATGTGTCATATTGATTTAACTGTTATTCTTTTTTTAACGTTAATGACTTCAGTTTTTCTGTTTATTACTTTTTACAAATCTGATACATCTCTCCATTTGTTTCATAAGTTTTATTTATACCGAACTATTGTTTTATTTGCAAACACTATAAAGCAGCACTTGAGCTGCATTTTTATGGTTGAAAGTTGCTATATAAATAAAATTATGATTATTATTAGTCTTTTGCTTTTGAATTATAAATAAAACCAAAGTTAGTAGCAGCATAGACAATGTGAAGGAGCAGTGCGTGTTATCGTCTGATCTGCTCGAGCATCAGCTGCAGACATTAAACACAGAACATCCAGGAGATGCGTTTAGGGGTGTGGAGGTCTTAAATTATGAATTCAGTTACACAAGTTCATGCTTAGTGCCCATGGAGGATGATCAGTTGTGGAAGCACTAGGGGTCTGCAGCTGCTGAGTTTAACTACATAAACCCCCTCTTGAGGCAGCTGACAGGATAGACAGCTTATGTCATTCACAAGCTCTACAGGAAGCCATACTTCTAGAACTAGTACATGTACATGTACTCTGCTCAGCAGCTTACAGGGTCAACCACATCAAACACCTGGTCGAGCTTACCTTCAGACAGGACACAGACAGTGAACGTGAACGACTGAAGCAAGGGAAAAGAGAAGACTTCAAATGAAGGCCATGCTACATCTGATGAAGAGGCCATAGCTGAGCCTAAATGAATCAGACACTAGACTGACTCCAATACAGAACCTGTGAAATATTACAGTCTTATAGATAACTGTATGACAATTACAGCTGAAGCGGTCTTTTCTACTCCAAAGAGATTCTAGGGCTGTTGGACGTGATCACTGGCAGCTGGCAAACGGCTGCAGAGATGGCTTTTCCTGTTTCAGAGTTACATGCATGTTTCTTTTAAACTGACAAAAGTAGCTTCATTACAGCTGACCTGTTGGAATATGTCTATGTCAGTTGAAAGGCTGATATAGCTTTATGCCCTTAAATAAAATGCTACTTTCCACTTCCTATAATTAGTTTCCAGAATGGCCAAAAACCTCTGAGAATGAGAAGCAGGAAACCTGAATGTGAGTTACAGTTATTTTACTACTCATGACAAACGGGTTCAAACACAAAATAACAACTTGTCTGGGATATAAAGTTAGTGTTCTCTCTCCTTCCCCATAAAAGAATAAGATCTAATTCCCAGGAACGGGACGATTGGTGTTGTCTAACTTCACATTCTGAAGACACCGAAACGGGTCTTCTGCGTTGGAGCGTTCAGAGCGGCGCTCAGGCTAAGGCCGAGGACGAGGCGAGTGTCTGCAGGGTCGATAATTCCATCATCCCATAGTCTGACAGCACAGGAAGTGAGGGACATGACAACATCAGAAACATGTCAAATCCACAACATAAACGGTGCAAGCTTAACATTAAGAAGGGAAATACATACACTACTGTTTAAAAGTTTGGAATCACTTGTCATTATAATAAATACGGTTATTTTATTCAATAACTTAAACAGTGTAGTTTGAAATACAATAAGCTACAGTCATTATTACATACGTTATCTGCCTTGAGATTTGATCAACACTTTTCAAATACAAGGCATAACTTTACTATGACTTCAATTTTATACAGCTTTCTCAATCACCTATGCCTTTTAATCTTCTTGACACATCTAAATGTATTTTTTTAACAGTTTTTCCTACAACTTAGTTATGCCTATAAAGTTGTAAAATATTAGCATCATAAAATCAATTTGAACACAAAGGTACCACAAATGGGTTTACAGTATTAAATAACAGTAATTCTAAACTTTCCAACACTAGTGCAGCATGCAAACGCAAGCACTGTGAGCTGTGCAAACTAGGTTTCACACGTTTAAAACCTGTCACAAGGCCATTCATAGTGCTTTGCAGAAAGAGGCCCTACAGTGTGGAGCCCACACAGATACAGGAGTCTAAATACTCTCTTTCCTTTCTAGAGCAACTTGGTGGTTACATACCTTACTTTCTATTTAGTCTTCTTTTTACATCTGTGCAACAAGTAACTTCTCAACTGTCAACATGTTTAATGTAGTTGTGGCAATTGGAATAAAAGTAGATCTGGTTTAGAAACACTATTAAGGTTTATAACCACTACAGTAAACCAGAGAACACATACTAAATACACTGATCAGGCATAACATTATGATCACCTCGTTTCTATGCTCATTGTCCATTTTATCAGCTTCACTTACTGTATAGGTGCACTTTGTAGTTCTATAGTTACAGACTGTAGTCCATCTGTTTCTCTGCATACTTGTTAGCCCCCTTTTACCCTGTTCTTCAGTGGTCAGGACCCCCATGGACCCTCACAGAGCAGGTACAATTTGGTTGGTGGATCATTCCCAGCACTGCAGTAACACTGACGTGGTTGTTGTGTGTAAGTGTGTTGTGCTGGTCTGAGTGGATCAGACACAGCAGTACTGCTGGAGTTCTGTGGGCAGCGTCCTGTGACCACTGATGAAGGTCTAGAGGATGACCAACACAAACTGTGCAACAGCAGATGAGCTGACTTTACATCTACAAGGTGGACTGACAAAGTAGGAGTGTCTAATAGAGTGGACAGTGAGTGGACACAGTGTTTAAAAACTCCAGCTGCACTGCTGTGTCTGATCCACTCAGACCAGCACAACACACACTAACACACCACCACCACATCAGTGTTACTGCAGTGCTGAGAATGATCCACCACCCAAATAGTACCTGCTCTGTGAGGATCCATGGACCCACTGAAGAAAAGGGTAAAAGGGGGCTAACAAAGATGCAGAGAAACAGATGGACTACAGTCTGTAATTGTAGAACTACAAAGTGCACCTATACAGTAAGTGAAGCTGATAAAATGGACAATATCATCATATTGTCATAATGTTATGCCTGATTGGTGTATGTACAACAGACTTTGTGCTTGCTATGTGTCATCATTTGTATGAAGTGTGTTTCTGGCCTCACTGTATAAAAACAGACTGTGGTAACTACACTGATTAGCAAATGTTTCATTCTGTGACGTATTTCCTACAATAAAATATAAATAAAAAACAAAACGCATCAATTGGAAAGTAATGTGAGAAGAGGCTAACAAGTGAAGATTTGCATCTACCCTTTCAATCTAGCACAGTTTACCTGGCACTGGAGTAATATGGGCTTCCCTCCTCCTCAAACCGTTTGATAATTGGCTCCTTCAGAGCTGCCTCCTCTTCTGCTGTGAACTAGAGAAACAGTTGCATTGACAAAGGTTACAAAACAAGAACAAGACATTTATTATAAAATACATCCTTGAAGCTCGAAGTGGAGAAAAATCATATGCTTACCTCTTTCCCTTCCCTGGCTTTCTGGTCTTTTGTGATGGTGGCTAGCACATTTGCTGCCTGTTCTCCTCCCATCACTGAAATGCGCGAATTAGGCCACATATACAGGAAGCGGGGACTATAAAAGAGAAATAATTTGGTTGCATTGCATTTGACAAAAAGCAAGTACAAGTATGAATTAAATGATGGTCACTGAAGGATCGAAGAATTCTGTATAAGTTAAAACAACTAAAATTAAAACTCTTAAGTCTTAAACAAGATATCATTCATTAGCTAATCAAGTAGTAATAGCATGTAGCACCTGTAGGCTCTGCCACTCATGCCATAGTTTCCAGCTCCATAAGATCCTCCGACAATTACAGTGATCTTAGGCACATTGGCACAGGCCACAGCAGTCACCATCTTGGCCCCATCCTTAGCGATGCCTCCAGCCTCATACTCTCTCCCCACCATAAAGCCTGCAAAGGAATACATAGCAGGGGTTTACATTAGGGCAGCAATATGGGAACTGTATATACAATATTTTTCATGTATACATCTGCCAATGTTGACATACAAACATTTATAAAATGCAGAAATCTGGACTACACCAACCTGCAATAGCATTTTGAAGAAGTAAAATTTTAAAATATAAATATATTAATTAAGGGTTACAAATAATGAATAAAGTGCAAACATTTTTTCATTATTCTGGTCTTGCAGAGTTCAATACATACATTATTGGAATATTAGACAAATCTAAAAATCAGCCAATACCAATGTGATTTTAACATCACTGTGGTTCCCTCATTTACATATTTTTTTTAGAAATGTCAAGTGACAAATTCCTTAAAAATGTGAAGAGTATGTATTATTCTTTGTTAAAAATGCACCAGAAAAGACAACTGGAAACTGTATTTATGCTTCCTCTAAAAGATCTTATTCTTCCTTACCTGTGATGTTCTGAAGGAAGATGAGTGGAATGTTCCTTTGGCAGCACAACTCAATAAAATGAGTTGCCTGGAAAAAAAGAAAACATATTTTAAAGAATAGAATAGATAGACAGAAATGCTAACTTAAGCCACACAGCTTTAAAATGAAAAAGAACTTCTCAGACAAACACTACAGCAGAACGATGTAACTCCTCTCCTTAAAGGAATTACTGACAATCTACACAAGCAATGACAGAATTAAATTGAGTATCTAAAATTGCATCAATTAAACACAGCCCACCAAAAAGCTTAGTAGTTTTTAAAGAAGAGATAATGGTTCATTATCGATATCGGCCAGTACCAGTTTCAATATAGGCATCATAAAAGAGAAAGTGGTATTGTGCCATCTCCAGATGACAAACTTATAGATCACTCTTTACAGGCCTAAACTGTTCTTACAACAAACTAATTTGTGAGAGTAAATCTGAGCAAGATTTAAGACCAGGACGCTTAGATATAAATAAGCAAAACAATACTGACTTTCTTTGCCGATTCCGAGAACAGGACTCCATTGTTGGCAATGATTCCAACTGGATAACCAAATATCCGTGAGAAACCTAGAAACAAGCAGACAAAACAGTAACAGTGTTTAAGTACAAAGTACA